AAGCCAGAGCCAGAAAAAGAGTGATCAGGATAGGGACACTCATGCCTGCACTGATGACCAAGTCTGCTTTGCATATGTAACACGATTAGCACTAAACTCAGCAGCTTTATTTCTCATGTATGCAGCAATTATGATTCAATAGCCCTTCATAATGTTCTCTCTAATTACTGATTATATCTTTTTGTATACTTTTATATGCACATATACATTTCTATATTTTCAAACAGTTGGCACTGATGTATTCAGACAAAATCTGAGGAAGAAAGGAGGATGCTAGAAGAAGAAACCACTGCCCAGAGAGGGGTCATCAACCCATCTGTTGATGGAGCAGCAATGGCAAGAGCAGTGAGCCCACCCCCCACCACATCACAATCCAAATTGGGATCCTGGATGGGGCAAACAACTCTTGCTGGCACGTGTAGCTGCCAACAGCCATTCTCCAAGAGTTTTCAGCCTGTGGGCCCTTAAGCATCCTTCCACAGCACCTCGGACCCTGCTAGAAATGTTTCTGCAAACTCCCCTGCCTGGAGTGCTGCTGGCACTGGCTGTCTGATGCTGCCAACACAACAAAAAAAGGAGGATCATGCACACATGAATTCTTCCTCTCTGACTGAGGGAGCTGAGGCTGTTCACAGAGGGATCAGGGAAGGCCCGAGGCCAGGGTGAAGTATGAAGTGGGAGCTGGCAGTTGCAAGGGATGAAATCTCGAGAAAAAGAGTAAGACCCTGGAGGATGAGCCCATCCCTGTCTTGTATAACTTCTTCTGTAGCCAATTCTCACATCCTCCTAGAGTAAGAAGTTGAAAAGCACTGGCAGACAGGAGCAACAACTATTCGATCAATGAACACTGTCTGCATGGGGTCTTCAACACCCACAGAAATCAATGGCAACATCTTTCAACCTCAGCCCATGTCAGATTATGCTTGCAGCAGTAACAGAGGCATAAATACAAGGAGCATTAAATGAGCACACTATCGTGAACAAACACAACCCCCTTCTGCTGCACCCTGTGAAATGAGCAAAAGGCAGGTAGCACAAGCTGCTACACGCACGGCGATTTCTCCCTGCAGAAGCTGCTGGCTTTCATGAGGGCGTGCAGGGGCGTGCACACCCCCCCTTCACACATTCTATCTGAAACTACCACCCTAAATGACTGCATGTGAATTTTGATTCAAAACAAACACTTAATCAAGTCTCAAACATCACCTAGATTACAAAGGGGAAACTATATAAAGCCAGTCGGTAACTTAGACCCTGTATTTTACCACTATCTCTGTTATTATCAGACCTTTCTCACTTTTTGCCCTAGCCAGAATTAAGTTTACAGCACTTGCTATAAGTGGGAAGGGGAGATGAACTGGCAGGGTACAGTCTAGTAACGTGACATGGGAAGGACAGGCTGACAGCCAGCAAACATCAGGACAGAAACACGATAAATTATTTCAAGTGGTACAAAAGGGACATAAAAATAAAATGCAAAGGGAAATTTTACACCAAATGATGTGATTCCCTGAGAACAAAGTCCATGATATTTGACTGTGGCAGTCTCCTAAAAGAAACAGCACCCTGTTCTGAGGAGCTGCAGAATCAGAAAGAGCAGACAGAATGTGGAGAGGATGCTGGGGTGCTGCACAGACAGGCTGATGTACCCAATCTTCATCTCTGAAACTGAGATCTCACTTTTAGCATGAAGAAGAAAGAAGCAGTTTGCAAAGACTCAAACAGATTTCAGCTTAAATGTCTCTGCAAATCAATACAGTTTGGGGGAAAAAAACAACAGTCCACCATATTGTTTATTCTATGTACTTCACTGCCTCAGACTCATCAACCTGGTACCTTGCATGACCTCTTTGTAATGCAAATTGGCTAAAAGACTGCTTTCCATAAAACACTCACATGGACAAGCTCACACTGTTCAAATATCAATGATAAGTGGAGCAAAAATACACTGAATTTTTCTTAATACCTGGGCTCTGCACCTAATTCTTATCTGCATAAGCAGTTTGTGAGAAACATTCTTCTGTTGCTGCAGCCTCGCAGCACAAAGGTGGAAGGTTTCCCAAAGCAGCTGATGTAAGCAACTATAAACTGAATTACCACATGCAAAGCCAAATGAAAAGACTCATAGAAGGTACCTGCAGCAGAGGTTTTTTTTAGGAAGACAGGTGATTACAGAGAGGAAAGGAGATACCCTGCATTTAAGGAGGTCAAATATTGCATATACTTCCCCTGCCTGCTGAGCTCCTATTTAAGAACCACCTGCCCAACCCCACAGTGTGTCACCACTGGAATCCTCACCACGCAGCACCAGGCATGCTGTTTCCAGCTGCTGCACTGACCGGACATAACACACCCACATCCAACATGTGGAGACCAGCAGGAGATACAGAATCATCCCAGCTAAGGCCTCCAGCCCAACCTGACCCAGACGGTCCACAGAGTGGATGATGACTCAAGGTAAGATGAGGGAAGGGAAAAGTTTGTGACTTACACAGGTGGGGAGAAAGACCAAAACTGTCATTTTAAGGTTACAGTGACTCCCTTTCCCAGTGGACTCAGGTGTTGGAACATCAAATACCATAGCAAACCTATGGCCAGCTAAGGTTCACAATATAAATTAAACTAAAACAAGTTTAAATAAAAAGAATAAATGTGGGAAATTTTATGATCTTTTCCTCCTCCTTCCACAGGTACCACTAGTTTTGTTTCAAAATGATCTATAACTGTGCCACCCCAAATTAAACTCTGAACAACTGCTCCCATCCCATACTCAGTTTTGAAAAATGCCATTTCTTTTTCAGACTTGAAGAAGAGTCTAGAAACCTGGAAACTGTTTAATTGTTACAGCTATACCAGTTGGCTTGACAGAAGATGATATTACCTCCCGGTACAAGCCTTTCCCAGATTTCCCAGAGCTATGAGACAGAAATCAAGACATCATTGCCTGAGGTGACAGAAACATCTACACTGGTTTTCATTGGGGTTCAGAGCCAAGATGTAACCAATGGAAGGCATCTTAACAAGAGGTTTTTCTTTATTCTGTGTAGTAACAGGTAAACAGCAAGCCAGGTGTACATCCCAGAGCATCTGCTAGACCTGGTTCCTGACCATCCAAAACACACCAAGGCTCCATTACTGCTCCTGAACCCAGATGACTTCCCCAAGGAAGCCAAGTCCTCAGAGGGATGGTGCACAAGGACACCATGATGCACCCACACCACGCAGGTACCCCGTGGCAAGGGAACTGCACCCCACCACAACTACCTCAAAGTACAGACATAATCAAAGTGTTAATCACTTAACGTGAAACTTTTAAATGATTAAAGTAAACTAGCAGAGTCACTGGAGGAAAAAAAAAAAGAAGTAAAAGTTTGGGGTAGGATCTACAATCAAAACAGCAATTTGGCATATGAGCTTCACAACATGTTAAGAAAGTAAGTACTTGTCCAAACACCCACAATGATTTCTCAGATGCATTAGAAGAGAATTAACAGACTGAAACTTCTTTGGCTTTGAAATTCAGTTCATTTGGCACATCCTCCACTTCTGAAAGAAAACAAACAGCAAACGCAGACAAGCCACAGCATGAGCAGCCACGCGCCCTCCTGCCCGCCCGCCTGCAGCCCGACGCAGGGCAACTTCTCTGGCTGTGCCAGCTTCCTTCCCTCTTTGAACTCAGCCCTCAGCCCTGTCCATTAAAGTGGTCAATAGCAATGCCAGCTGAGAAATGTCCATCACCAAGAACTCATTTTTACAGGTCACTGGCTAGCCAGACAACAACAGCTTCTAGCCATTACTGACCTCCCTTCAGCATGAACCACTGATTTCCAGGAGAAAGATCAGCCACAAGCCATCCATTTTCTTAATTGTAATGAAAACAAAACCAAACCCACTCAAGTGTTTCTATATGATTTCATTTATACAAAATATACATGTGCAATCATCCTGCTACATTTTTGGAATGCAACCACTAACATAAGAAGAATCTAAATGCTCTGGGTTCATCTACTGAAGCAGGGAGTACCTTACTGTAAGTAGGTGCTCGTCACCAGGAATCAGCAAACAGAACAGTTTGGATACCAAAACATTCTGCTGCATCCAACCTCAGGTAAGCTGACAAAACAGATTCAGACAGGTGTGTCTTATGAGGGAAAAATTAACTGTGATAAAGAAAAGAATAAAATTCCTTTCAGATACGTTCCATTCTTAGAGTCATTAAGATGCAAAAGGAACTTTAAAAAATGCCATCTCCATATAGCTCAAGCACACGTAACAAAAAGCAAACAAACCTGCCTGGACAAGTTGCTGTTTGTAGCACTGTTTGTTTTAAGGGCTCTGGCAAAACTGACTTCCTTAGTTGACCAGTCCTGCTCCCACTGTACTACGGAGCTTTACAATACAGACAGACCTGGAGGTTTCAAGAAAAATGGAGCAAAACCACCACAGCACACACCAAAGTCCGTGTCAAAGAAGAAAAAGCACACAACCAGCTATTTCCTCTTACAAACACATTACATATTTGCCATTTGCAAAGATTCTCAATCAGACAGGCAGACTGCTTCATGTTTGACTCCCATAAATGTCTCCTGAGAAAGTCTGCCTTGATCTAAATATCTCAAACTTGGGGTTTAATTCCCAGTCATAATTGCAGAAATCTGCTTCCTCCATTTCCTAATTGATACTCTATGGCTTGAAATATGCCTATCAGCTATCACATGACTGCAAATCTACTCAGCTAAGAGATACACATTCTCAGGCTGCAGGAAACAACGAGGCACTCCACATTTTCCTGCAGCTTCCTCAGAAGCAGATGCCAACAACCAACATCAACAACCAAGACCACTGGTCCCATCCAGCCTCACAGCTCCTGTACCTCAGTCATACAGTGATTCATGGAATTGCTACCACAGTAACCATTTAGACACTCAGAAATTACACAATAAACCCACAACTGTCTGCACCTGTCCAGGTTCCATTCTGAGCTGAACTGATCTACTCACCAGGGTCTCTGTCCTTGGTGGATATGCACTCTTTTATGGATTCTGTTATGCCAAGACTAGCTGCAGTGGGGAGCGGGCCGAGCAAGGATTCCAGTGCGGGTGGTCTTACAAGGGCTTCACTTCCATTTCTGCATTCTTCAGCTTCTTTATCTTTTCCTCTATCCTTCTCATGAAGTTCATGATAGAAGTCCTTGTTTAAGTGATTAGCAGCTGCTTCCAGTTCCTCATCTTCTGCCTCCTCATCTCCAGTTATGCTACAGGTATTATCTTCTACAGAATCTGTAAGGGGGAAAAAAAAAACAGATGACTGCTTACCATCTCTTGCAGAAACTAAATAGAGAGGCACTCACTTAAAGAATAAAAATCTTAAGAGAAAATCTGTAGAAGAAATAAACAATATTTTAGCACAATCTGTGAATACATGGAGTTTCCCGATGCTCTTCAAATTTATTTCCTTGGCTATTAAAATGTATTTTTGTGACTATAGTCATCATTTAAAACAGAACTGCTGTGTTATCAAATTGTGGTGAGCAAAGGGGCTTTGCCAGAGAAGGTGGCTACTTCCTGGTGTAATTCCAAACAAACACCAGCCAGTTCAACCTGCACAAAGCCCTTCTGTATCCCTTGGTCAGCTGGGAGATTCCACGACAGAGGGGTCTAGATAGTGGTCCACTGCACTTCCAGTGATGAAAAGGAATATTCTCAGGTGCCAGTGCCAAGCTTATACTGCACCAGGCAAGAAAAACAACTGAAATCAGTAACAAACTGTCACTGTAATGAACAATGTAGTTGTTTTGAAGACTGACATAGGGATGAGCTATTGGCAGAGAGAACCCCAATACAATAGAGATCTTGTACTACACAAGCATATCTATAGAATCATAGAATCATTTAGGTTGGAAAGGACATTTAAGATCTAGTCTAACCATGAATATGAATACATGTACCAAATAAAGTTCATACACTTAAGACTGCCTGCAGGATCTGAACCCATTATTATCTAAGCAGTCACAAGACTTCACAGACTTACCATCTTTAGTGAAACTTGCAAATACGCCTTTTGCTTTTGGTCTACTGTTTTCTAATTCAATCTCTATTTCATCCTGATAGCTTGATATTTCACCTGTGGTGATGAAATAAAAATAAAACTCAGCAATCATAGATGTAATTTTGAACAAATGAGTGATATGTTACACTAAACACAACATACCTTCAAAATCTTCCAGTTTTTTTGATAATGCCTTCTCGAGCTGAAATGGAAACAAAATAAATGTGACATGAATAAGGAACCCCACTTTGTACTGTTTGTGAACTGTATAGAGAGACACAGAATCACAGGGTATTTTAAAAGCAATAAGCATGTTTCAAATGGCAACTCAAACTACTCTGTAGTGTCAGACAGGTAAGACAGACAATTATAAAAATACCAATGTAAAATTTTATCTCATGCATCTCTACACTTCAAAAGCAATCTTCACTCTGGCAAGCTGCAAATAAAAGGCCTCATTCTTCAGCAGTCAGACTCTACAACCAAGTCTGCAGATGTAAGCAAGTGCAGGGACACTGCTGGAACTGCAGTGCCCAGGCCAGACACAGCACACGGAAAATGGCAGGCTGAAGTACTGACCTACAGCACCTGGCAGGCTCCTGAGAATACCATAAACACACCCACAGAGCTTTCAGTGATTGTGTATTTAGAACAGGAAAAACAAAACCCCTGAAAAGCAATGACAGTAGTATAATCTTCTCTGGTGCCAGCTTTAATTCATGTTTTGTAAAGAAATGGAGCCACAGGAGAACTAATCTCTATGGAAGCAGGTGTCACACTACACAAAAAAACCAGCAGCCTCATTAAAGTAATTGGGTTATTGTTTTCATGTGTGTTTAAAAAAAAATGTTGTATGTAATGGCACTTCTGATCAGGGGCACCACCTCAGAACCAGCCTCTGATCCAGTTACAAAGCTTACACCTCTGCAGCCCTGACCCTTGCTAAGCAGGGTGGAAGGGTGCCTACAGCACATAAAGAGAAGTGCAGACATTAGGACAGCTACTCAAGACCTCCATGCCACAAACTCAGCTTCATTTGTCATGTGAGAGCCTCCAGTTTTGCAAGAACAAAAAAGACTTGATGCTTCTGTCTTTTGAGGTGAAAGCTCAAGAAGGGAAATGCGTGTAGTAGGAAAGTAAGGAGAGAACAGAGCTTGGTGTAACTGCACTGGCTTGCAGATGAGGGAGCGTCTGGGCAGAGTGTGCCGAGCCCTCAACGGTGATACAGCAGTCGTGGGCTGAGCACCAAATGCTGCTAGGCTGCAAAACACAGAAGCTCAAGCTGCTGCTTGTTTACTCGGCCACCCAGACATCCTGATCAGCAACAGGAGAGCAGTGACTCTGTACTTCCCACAGCAGCTGGCTAAGACTTCGATCCCTCACCAGGGCATGTTTAAAGCTACATCTGAAGCTAAATATCTGAAAGAGTGCATCTCTCTGAGGACTAAGCAAAAATGATACAGGAGAAAAAAATATATACAAATACCCTTTACTTAATGGGTATCATACACACTTACACTCACCCTTCTCTTAAGAATCTCAAAAGAAATATAACTAACCTTTATCAAAGGCCAGTCAGTTAGGATTTAGTACTAACTGATTCAAAAAGGAATGTACTGGGAGAGGAGAGAAATACAGAGAGCATCTAATTCAGAATTCACCTGCTGTATCTTCAATTTTTTTTGACCAGCTGTAAACGAAGGAGGATCACATTCTTCTTCTAAGTCAATCTTCATAAACTCATCTATGGTTAGCTGACTTGTTGGTGTATCTTCAAACTCTGTCAACCTACCAAAGCATACAGCACATTGCCATAACATCTTTAAGAACTCCTTTAAAAGCAACAACATTTGTCAAACTGCTAAGTTACAGAATAAACATGTCATCCTTAGAAATGTTGACTCAAATACAAACTACATTAAAACTGAAGTAATAGTAATTGTTTCAACTGCTGCAAAGAAAGCATCTTTTCATATCACAAATTAGCTTTTCATTTATTAGAGTATGTAATATACAATTTTTTTGATGAGCAAAGACTGAACAGAAATACTGCAGTCCCTGTGGTCAATTAGGTATAGACTGACAAAACTAAGAGGAGAAATGTGGCTCACTCCTCCTATCTTGTTGCTTTTGCTATCAACAGCAACAACAAAAGATTCCAAAACTAATCTATCTGCCATCATAGTTTAGGAGTATGCTCAAAAATACTCCTGCTGTGTTAGCACAATTAATTTATGCAAAGCAAACATGAAGTAACGTATCTTCAGCAGACCGGAAGACAGACAAGAAGTAATCTTCCCAGGACACACAGAAGCAGTAGTAAAATAAAGGGATCATCTGCACATTGCACTGATGGAATAGATGAAGATACGTAATTTTACAATAATATACTTTGGAATTGTTTCATGTCTGCATTTTAAAAGTTCCTGCCTATGTGAGAGATAGGATTAGCTCCATGGGGAATTGCCATGAAAGCAGCTGAATCCTTCAAAGAAACTGTATCTTAAATGAGACCACGTTGTCAGGACTTCATTCCCAAATTTCAGCATTTTATACAGGTGGTTGAGAATGAACACATCCATTTTACAGATGGAGAAAGTGAGACAAAAGGTTAAGTACAAAGCCAGGTCAGGAAATGTCTGGCAGAATGCTTTTCTGACAGAAAGTGCCCTTTTAATAATATCAACATTTTCCATGGGAAAATGGCAGTGATGGGTCTGCAGCTGCCTCACTGGAATATTCCCATCCTCCAGAGGAAGCAAAGCTGACAACAGCTTCCATCTGCAAAAGGAAACTAAACCAGTGATTCAGTACTCCCAGCATAGGACCTCTCAGCATCTCCCCTCCCCTCCCCACAGTTGTGGTTTTCTCCTCTACCTCTGATTGCAGCAATACTGCTTCTAAAGAAGGAATGTTCTCTAGGAAAAAACCTCACAGTTATCAACCAACTCCAGGGTCAAAGCCAAGAGCACAGGGCCACACTCCCTTCCTGCATCCTCATCAGTATCTGTAATTGTTTTATAAACTGAGGAGCAAGACAAGGCAGCCTGTACAAAGGGACGTGGCCATGCCTTAACATGAGGACACTGCCTGCAGGCACCCTGCTCCCAGAGCACAGGCCACGGGTGTCATCTCACGGGGCAAATTGCACAGGGAGAACTGGGCACCTCCAGGTCAACCCAAGGGCAAGCACCATGCTGAGCCCAGGCACAGCTATGCTGCCCAGAATTAGCGATGCTGAGGAGAAGAAAGCCTCTGAAACTTCCTCTCACTTTTGGAGTGCAGGGTTCTCCACAAAGGCCCAAATTAGCCATGTATTTGAGAGTGACTGACAGCCCAAAACTTTCCCTCAGAGTATGAGGGACCGGATCCCTCTTCCTCCCTTTCTGATCAAATTGGAGAGGAGAGGACGATGCTGCTGGCAGCAGCTGCACCCAGCTTTTAATTAACAGCCTAGAAATCTTTCTGAGCATTAAGAGGCTTCCAGCATGCATGACCCACCTTCCAGGAAGGCGCTTCATCTATTAGGATAGAGGAAAACATGGGCTAGAGCACTGTTATTATTACTTTAATTCAGGATTCATTTATTGCCAAATCTGTGCATCACTTCAGGAGCGTGTATCTTCCCAGCCACCATCATTAAATTACAGTCACCCATCTCTTCATGTATGAATCATGCACCCACAGGTAATCCCACTCCAGCAAGACTTTTCCTCCCAACCAGCCTCACCTTGTTAAAATGTTATTCTCCTCCCACTGTAAAAGCAAACACACACTTTGGCAAAGACCTCTAGTTTGTTTACCCCACACTTGCTGCTAGTTTGAGATGAGCAGCCAGGCCCAGAGCCCAGCCAAAACAGCTACACCTCCAGGCATGCAAAGCAACGTAGAAAACACCCCTAGCAAAACCAGTCACTCCTGAAGCAAGGTTAAGGACAAGATGACCACGCTCAGGTGACGTGACCGAGTGTGAGGGCCTGGGCACAGGCCAGTGGCAAGCCCCAAGTTAGAGCAGCACATTTTTTCTTCACTCCACAACAGTCCTAACCACAAGGCTCTAGCCATCCTCCTGAATCATAGAATCATAGGGGTTGGAAGGGACCTTGAAAGATCATCTAGTCCAACCCCCCCTGCCAGAGCAGGACCACCTAGAGTACATCACACAGGAAGGCGTCCAGGCAGGTTTTGAATGACTCCAGTGAAGGAGACTCCACAACCTCTCTGGGCAGCCTGTTCCAGTGCTCCGTCACCCTCACAGTAAAAAAATTTTTCCTGATATTCACCTTGAACCTCCTATGCTCCAATTTGCACCCATTACCCCTTGTCCTATCACAGGTCAACACTGAAAAAAGCTTAATTCCATCTTCCTGACACTCACCCTTTACATATTTGTAAACATTAATGAGATCACCCCTCAGTCTCCTTTTCTCCAGGCTAAAATGAAGAACTATCCCTGATGGTCAGGATCACAGCTTGAGCATCATCTCTGTGGGAGAGCAAGCTGTTCACTCAACATTTTCTCCTTTAACTTGCTATAAATAAATACCTACATTTGCCAGCCACTTGCCTGCCTCAACATTTTTTACTGGCTAATATCCTGCCTACATATTTTTTAAACATTTCTTTAATTTTATCCAGTGTTTGGACACATGCCACCAAGGCAACAAAGTGATGCAAGCAGGAGTCTACACTGCACGTAAAAGGTAACATTAGTTTGGCAGCTAAGAAAAACTGATGCAACTTTAATTATAAGCACAATAATTTCAGGGGTGAGGGAGTACCCTCATGAAAAAAAAAAAATAATAGCTATGGGCTATTTTTTAAGTCCCACATAAAAATGCTATCCAAGTTCATTTTGCACTTTTGTTAATCAAAAAAAAAAAAAAAAACACTAATAAGAGTTGCCATTTCAAGTTACGCATAGAAGGAGGAAAATAAACAGATATACAAATTAAGATTTTTTTTGGCATAAGTTCAAAAGGGCTCTATAAATTGAAATTTGGCAGACAAGTATTTTCTATTTATAGTCAAAGCACAGGCAACCACTACAGCTCAGGCTAAGATTCCACTTCCAGTATAAACCCTCCTCTTACAGTTTCTCACAGCAAACTCTTTCAAGCAAATTCCTTCGGGAGAAAAGCTTTTCCAGAGTTTGGTGTCATCTGCCCCTAACCCCAAGCCTTTTTTTCCAAAGAAAAATTTCCATGGCTTTTGTTTCATCCGTTTATGGACAAAACCACACCTCGTCTTCTGATACAGCACTTTTGTGCCTAAAACAGTAAACCGATTCTGTTCACACTTAATTTAGCTCCCAATAAGGGAAAATGAGTCAGTCGGTTTGAAGTTGAATCAATGGGTTTTTTACTTTGTTTTGTTTCAGGGATACCATCCAGTGGAGACTTATGAATCCAGTCTACATCCAAGAAAAAAACGACTCCTTTGTGCAGCTAGCTGCTGGGGTTTAATGTTTAATTGAAATTCTGCAGCAGTGAGATGCAACAAAGCACGTAAAAGAACAAGGTCTTCTGGAGTCCAACTCACAGATTCTGAACTTCAGGAGTCCAAGTTCAAAGTCCAAGAGGGACTTCTAAGCAGAGAGCATTTAGGAAGAGCCACAGTGTCCTCCTACACATACACAATCCGTATCTAGCTCTAGAAATCAGGCAGGGGTATCTTGTGCTCTATTCAGAAGGGTAAACAAATTATAACTTCAGAAACAACTGGTTTTTTAAAGAGTGAATGTGAAATTTAGCCTGAGCCATCAGCCTTTAAGTTACCTGTTGTGAGAGGTCTCTATGAAAGTACTTATAATAGTTTATTAATGGATTTTAAAAAGTACTAAGCTGAATATTGGCATATTGTTAGCAGAAATACATTTAAAAAACCTTATTGCAAGATAAGCTGATGGCAGTAATTAAATTCCCCTGTTTTATCCCAAATTAACAATATAATTAAAACCCTAACTTATATGATATCTAAATCATCTTAACTGTCATATCAATTACAAATATTCTAGAAATAGATTGCTCAACTAACAACTCCAACATCTGCAAACTCTGGAAAAGCACAGGATTTACTTTTGTATCTTAGTGAAGTACTAAAATATTGCAGTACCTCCCCACTGTTTCCACTTAACATTCATCAGTGCTGCCCACCACTATGACCTGTGCACACACTCTAGGAGAGAAGTTCAGAATTCACACTGAAGTGGCAAACCATCACTATTCTCACACCACACATTTACCAGTCTATTGCACCATGCTTCTCTCCTCATGTTTGTCCAAGCCATACAATGTTTATGCATGAACTATTAATGGAAGTATGCAAATACATACCCTAAAAGTGATATTTGATACAGAACATGTATCAGAAATAGTTATTAAAGGCTTCCTACATGACATTAGAAAGTTTTCCAGTGTTCACCAGTATCTAAATAAACAGAGGTATAATCTCCTTGTATGTCACTGTACACAGACAGAATTTTACATGTACTTGCAGCAATATAAAAAAGGTAATTTTAAAGCTTATACGAATGAGTATCTCATTACTAAAGGTAAGGACAAAATCAGAGATGATCCAGTTACTGTGGTTTTACAACTTATCACCTGAGCTGTGCTAAAGTATAGTCTGTGTTCTCAGCTCAGTGTAACTGTAAAGAGAAATATTTTCATTTAAACTTCCACAGTGTACTACATTAATACATTTCACCTCTTTTTGTAATGGACTAAGAGCATACTCACACAGTCATTTACTGCAAATTAATTGGTGACTGGTGATTTATGGTGCTTGTTTGCTGGCAACTTTCTATCGTTTTTGTAAGTATTAAAGATGGGTACCTTAAAAGTTTTATTGTACTAAATAAAAGCACCCTTTAGAATTAGTTGATTTTACTTGCTCCCGCCAAAACAAAAATTATCACAAATTCATTAGCATCAATTTTCAAGCCCTGATTCTGCAAACACACATGGAGTGAACTCAGGGTAGCTCACCAATAACCCCACCGACAGACCTCCTTGGCCATCCCAGAAGTCCTCCAGTCTAAACCACTTGGAATTTTTTGTTGTTGTTTTTTTCCCCCCTCAATCCAAGTGTTCACACGATGCTAATGAAACAAAATGCTTTAGCATTCCTTACAATTTTGTTTCATTAGCATGGTTCCTCCACTGTGGTCTGTCAAAAAACACTTTATGATCTCCTGGAAAAGAAAAATAGTGTGCTGCTTAATTTCTTAACAGCCATTAAGATGATGGAAGTCAAACACCGAGAAAGCTGTTTACAAGATCTAAGCCTGAGTTAGCACTAAGTTAATTATTGTTTCAAAAGTAGCAAACAGCAAATAATTCCGAAATTACATTTTTAAATAAGTACGAAGTACTACAATATATTAGGAATCTTATTAACATATCACCTTACTAGCTGCATAGAAGCTGGATTTATAAAAAGGAGCATTGCCTGTAATATTAGAGTCCTCAAAAATAAAACCTTTTTCATTAAAACAGACAATCCCACTTACAAAGGTATGAGATATTAGCCCGCGTGGACCAAATTGTATTTTACTCGCCATACGAGAAAGACTTCTAGAAATCATCTATAAGCCACTTGAAATTATTTAACTTGAGACCTAAAATATTTCTCAGTTTCTTAGCTTATCACAACAGTGGCCAGTGGAGGAGCTCCACGCTGCTGAGCCGAGATTAGAGCAGACACCACCACAAGCTCCTTTACATGAAGGAATTATGCCAGGTTTCCGAAAGCTTCTCTCCATACCATGCTACAACCAAGAGCACTTAGACAGCTCTGAGGTACTGCACATCCCCTACCCTTCTCCATACTCAAATGCCTTAGGCACACAGCTCTCACTGAATTCATCAGGTGCCTTTCACAGGATTTTAACATGGCTTTGCATGGATCACAACCAAACACAGGCTTCTTCACACTTTTCCCTTCAGTCCTGCCCTTGAAACAGCTTTGGTATTTTGGAACCTGCAACCTCATAGCCACCCTGCATTTATGTGTGTCCTTGTTATCTTCTCTTCCCATCCTGACTCTGGACTCATGTATAAACTTGCTCCTCATTTTGCCTGCTCTCACAGACTTGAGACCAGCCTTGAGACTGCACTGGGAGCTTGGACACGAGGCTTATGTGAGCTATATACTGCAGAAATGAAAGTAAGAAAGCTTCAGGCAACACATTTATCTATATGCATGAATTTTTAATTTTTCCAGAAAATTACCAACGAAGTCATTGAAAGAGCTGTAGCTGGGTCCCCAGGGTATCAGCAAAGGACCCCATTTATGAAAGTCCCCGCAGCATCTCCAACTGGTAAATTCCTTCACAACAAATCATGTCTTTCTTCCCCAAAAATGCTATTTTGTTGTGAGAAAAAATAGTCACCTCAAAAATGAGCCCTTTAAACCCATTCTGGCCTTTCATTCCATTTGCTTCTAAATTAAGCTTTACTTCTTCTATGTTCATCACAAATAGGTTCTTTAACAGATAGTACTTTATGGAACAGAAAAGAAATATTTTTTATGCAAAAAGCAGCTCAATTTAAAGATAAAGAGAGTAACCCAAAGAAGCAAAATGCAAGTGTTAACAAAGATAAGATGATTTTTTTTTATTTCTATTGAAGAAGTGCCTAAGATCTTTGAACAGGCCTAAGCATGGCACAGTATTAGATAATGCACAATGGACAAATATAACAAAAAATTATTCTCACTGCAGATAAGACAGAATTTAGCATGCAGAGAAAGTATGCAATGGGAGAATAAACAGATGAAGGGGCAGAGTATGTAAAGGTGAAAAAGGCAGCAGCAAAGACAGGTGCATTGAACACAGGCACAAACGTGAGGACTAAACTAAATAAAAGGGCTGGGTTCATTAAAAGTTAATTTCTGCTATCTCCACAGATGATTACACAGAAAATAACAATTTGACTAATTAGTTAATATTTGTACAGTACTTTGAATATATAAAGTGATATATAAGTTAATACCATTTCAATTAGACTGGAAATGAGATAGAATTATCAGTGCATTTATTAATATTTAATACATTCGCTTTCAACAACAGCAACAAGCTTTACATTTTAATTGTGTGCTTCAAAACATAAAGCTAGAAGGCCTTATGAAGTAACCACAAAGTTTTCTTACCACGATCCTACCGAAACCCTATGCATATTAAAAATAATCACATGCTGGTTTTTAGCCAAAGAGATGGTGAAATTAGCAGCTGTTGATTCAAAGTGAGTGTGAGTGTGATTCAAAGTGTGAGTGACAGGGTCCATGGGCCATGATTTGTTGCTTTTTCCTTCCAATAGATTCCCCTTATGCTCAGGTTATTCATTTTTGTGGCCTGAAAGTACACCACATTTTTGTGAACCTCCTCCTAAGAGCTACTTCTCTGGTACACGGCAGTGAAAAGGGTGATAGACTACGGGCAGGTAGGGTTGGGGCTCTCCAGCTGATGGCCAACAAGGTGAACTAATCCCCTTTTGCACAGCTGCATCAGCTGCACTGCACAGGGTCAGACACAGCGTCCTTCTTGGGGCAGGGCTGCCACCCCTTGCCACAGGTTTTCCCAAAACAGGAAACCAAGCAGGACTTCCTTAAAAAGCATCACTCCCACACCCTCAGCCAAACCACTGATCAACACAGCCCTGTCCCCCCAAGATCAGCAGGATCTGCAGGGCAGGGCCAGAAGGCACCTTGTGTTGGTGTAGCCCCTTCCCTTGCAGATTTCTGCGGTGGAAGTCCACCAGCACCAAAAGCAAATCCATCTTCCAATGGCCTGTGCTTCCCCAGGAGCCACGTAGCCAACTGGGTGCTAAATCAAACCATACAGCAGAACCTACAGGCTGGAAGTTTCCCCAACACTGGCCATTAACGAGCGTTAACACAACTACACTCAGCATCTTCACAACACACAAAGCAGCAGTGGCTCTTTACAAACCAGAGTAACTGTGTGAAGCGAGCCCTCATTCTACTATAGCAATAATTAAAAGGAAACAAAACTGTACATCAAGCTGAGAAGCAAAGACATTTTTGAGAACGTGAAACAAATTCTTAATTTAGGCAGCTTCTACTCAGTGGCATTTGGAAAGGAATTCTTGACAGAAGAGGGAAAAAAAACACTAGAGTGCAGAAAGAGTTTTCAAAGGTATATTTTTCACTTGCCTTCGTTAAATACTATATAACCTGCTCTTATTTGAAAAACATCAATCAAATTTATAGATTCATGATAAATACAGTTGTAATTATAGCTGCCTGAAAATAATTCAGCTGTCACGTTTACCCTGTCAAAGTAAATAACGCTGTCATTTTAGTTGATGTGTGTGACTTGAGTAAACATTTCAAAGCATGAATTTTGAAGTAAGATTTCTGTGCTTGAAACAATTGCTCAAATTCATTTTCCTTCCAACCTTAATTTATTATGCTTATTTTCTTAGTAAGAACAAACTCTGTAACTATTTAACCAAAGCATCTTTAAGTAGATTGTGGGTGAATAAATCATTAATCATACAAAATGCACACAAAACACGTGACCTGTTGGCCAAAGAAAAAAAAAAGTGGCATTTGTATTACTCCACCCTTATAGTGGTAGTACCTGGGAACACTTCAAACACTTGAAATTTAACCCTATGCTACCCATCATGGTAGGGAATCATTCCATCACTCCTGTTCTACAAATGAAGTCTGGGGCAAGAATATTTTTCACAATTAAGAAGTAAATATTATTAGCAGGGATTAGACTCAGCTGAACATGCTTAACCTTGTTGCAGTCAGGTGGAAGGAGAGATACCGGGAGAGCTTTCTAAAGATAGACCTTGGTGGAATAAATTTCATAATATACTGTTGATACAAAACTTTGCAACTGGAGGCAACAGAGATCCTGGGTTTTCACAGACAGGTAATTTCTTACTGAACCAATAGGTAAAGAAAATGTTACAGCTTTTCAAAACTAAAATGAGGGAAACTGGGTGACTACTTACTTCACCAAAACACGGATAACACTACTAGATCTTTAAAAGAAAAAATATGCCAAAGGTACTTGGGAAATACCCACTTCCAGGCTCACTTTCTGCTGGTAACTACACTTTGGACCCCTTCAGTGAACTCATGATTAGACTCGCTGTGCTGTCTTCTATTTATTAGCAGTGCAACACTATCAAAAACAGACATTTCAGCAAAGTATTTTGAGAAGTTCTGTTTAATAACAGCTAAAGGACACAACTTTGCAGCACTATATTCTGGATTAATGAAAAAAAAAAATCCCACAGTACACATTCGGCTTTGAGAATCAATCAATTATTTCTTTTGAGGACATGATAACACTGTTAACATTTCTGACCCAACAATTTTTTGCCTTCAACTCTTCACCTGTTAAATGGGCACAGTGCTCCTTAGCACCTTTGCTAAGCATTTGAGGCCTTACATAAGAGGCAGGTGTTAGTACTTAAAAGTGACCAGCTAAAACATGTACTTATTTTATTCTTGGCACTTCTGAAAAGCAAAAGAACCTGGATTTCTCCAATATACATTCATTTTAGACTACATCACTTTCCAGCACTGTAAATGAGAGATAAAAGCAATAAAACTGTACTGACCTTTTCCTTAATGTAGACTCACAAACCTTGACCACCCTGATGACCTCTTTAACAGTACGTCGGAAATCATGCATTCTTGCTGCCACTAGCAGAGCTAGACAATAAGCAGGGAAAGTCAATATCAAAAAGAGGAAAATTTCCTGAAGAAAAGCAGAAAACAGTCAGATAACTATACCTGCTTCATCCCTGCCTTCAACTAAAGAGCTGTAAATGCTTATGCTCAGCTGTGTCCCAGAATACAGGTGACTGACTTGACTTTACAAACTTTTCTCCCTGCCCAATAAAATCAAGCTGATTGCACATTGTACCCTGAATAATTCTATGCTTTACCATTTGGGAAACCATAGTCATCTGCTTAAAACACAGCAAAAGAACAATCACATATTTTCAAAGTTGTCATCTTTTTAGCAGAATTTACTAGTCTCGCTAGCGCCCAAGTGCTCTCCTGCAAGCCCCTCTCTACAGCTTTATAACCAGTACTTGCTGCATTTACATTAGGGTGTGATTCATAGCACTACCTCTGGGTTGAAGCATTCCACCCACCTTCATCAGGCAGTGGCTCAGTGCACAGAACAGTTTTAAGCATGCAAAAGTGCTTCCTTCCAGAGGAAACTAAGCCAGAGCTCCACACTTCAGGTATGGGGTTAAAGTGCTCCAGTTCCTAATGGGAACATCTAGGGCTGAACTAACAACTGGTCCTTCAAACATCTGGCACAGACATTTAGGCCTGAGAAACAAACTAAACCCAGCCCACAGTGTACCACATGAGCCATGCAGTTCATTGCCTGGACTCAGCACCACCCGCTTCAATCTCTTGATCCATGTCTCTTGAATCAAATTACTTGCTCAGGTGGATGTGGTCTATGTAGTGAATCAAAGACCGGGCTGGTCTTCCCTAGAGTCTGCACTCAAAATTTTTAGAAATGTGCAATGAACAAGTACAATTAAGAAAAAGAGGAGAGAAGTTTCAAGAAGATTGCATAGCCCTGGGTTCCGTCAGGTCTGAGTGCTATTTTGCTCTTTCTCATTCCAGCATGCACATGTAAGATCTTTCAAATAAAACGAAGCACGTATGGGAACTCTGTGACAATCTACACTCTTCGTTACCCTGACCTCCCTGGCTGGTACCAACTACCTTTTAACCCAGCCCTCCCAGACAGGCAGGTTTTTTCTAAGCACCGTGACAGCGATGGATCTTGGAAAAAGATGGAGAGGAAAATAATTTCACAGAACAGGTCAAAGAGGGCATTTCTTGCATAAGACTGTGTAAAGACACAAATCAAAGTGCTTGCACTAATGGTGTCATTTTAGCTGACAAAAAAAGCCTTTTAGCAGCCAGAGATTGCAGAGATTATGGGTGAGAAAAGCACCAGAAAGGAGGTTAAAAAGCCCAAATTGTAAGATACAAAGGATGTGAGCAAGTAATGTAGGACAAAAATGAAGTATGAGTTTTAGAAACTATTTCAATGAAGACCTATGTAATCTGTAGGTGTCTGACAGCACAGAACGCAGAGAACGTGGCATCACCAGGGACGTGAGAAAGTCCTAACCTGTTCCCAACTCCCAGACTCCTGTCCAACCTGCTGAGAGGGCAGTGAAACACTCAGCATCTGACATACCTGCTCCACAGAGCCCCGAGGGCCGGCGACCGGTGTGCATCCAGTCCCGCTTCATTCTCTGCAGCAGCCTGAGAGCCGTCATGGACACCTCGTGGTTCTTGTCCCCAAACTCCAGCATGTGTGCAAAACGAGGAATATATAAACACGGGTCTGCAACAGAAAGTAAGACAACTATTTCTAAACCCAACCTTTGATTTAGGAAAGGCAGCACGTGAGCAGCAGTACCGTGGGGCTGTCGTGGTTGGCTTGCTTCATGTCTCAGCAGACAACACAGACTGTGCTGTTGGGCCAGACCCTCTCATCACTAAGCTTTAGAAGCACCTTTTCAGTTAAGCTAAAACAAAATCCTTTCTTTTAGAAAGAGACCTTTAAAGTACTGCACAAAGTCTTTCTTACATAGTTTTTCGGGGTCCAAGGCTGCACATGCTGACTCTGACACGTGAGCAGTGTTACTGGTATCAGTGAAATCATGCACAAAGCTAAGTGATTGCAAAAGCTCTTGCAGAATGAGAACGTGACTGAGAACCAGAGAATCAAAATGTCTAATATCTCCTGCGAAGTAACAAGTAAGGTAGCTTGCATGTCTCACCTCTCACCTAAGCACAAACTGAGGTCTGAAGAAAATTTATTTGCTTAAAATCTCACGCCCCTAACAAAAACCTGCTTACAGCTTCAAAGCTAATTCCAGCTTCTTCTCGGGCTCATATTCCAACAATACAAAGCTCTGTTTATTACACATACTAAGGCACACTCCCTCCATCAGCATGAATTGCTGGAACCCTATTAATGTCAACAGCACTATGACAATTTACATCGGCCACAGATCTGCCTCCAGATGGATAAATTTATTTCAAGTGTTGGTGTTATCTGCATCAAACTAGCCAAAATATGTCAGTACGCATTGTGCTTTGCCTAAACCAATTTATAATTTATCAAACCATCTTGTAAAAGCTACACTTAACACATGTTTACTCTTCTTTGAGGTATCAATTTCTCATTTCCTGCCAGCCTTTTATCACTGGACCGAAAATCCATGATGTACGGTAAATTGTTAACTATTAGTCTCAACTCAATTTCCTTAGCTGATCCCCTATGTGGGCACTTAAACTGATAAAGATGAAAATTCAGCTCAAAACACTGGAACAATCTTACAGATTTGCAATTAATCAAAGCAGTTTCATTTAGCACCAAGTTCTAACAACGATGCCCCGTTGCTATCCGTAATTGCGAAGATCACCCCGCAGGTGATTACGCCTGTCAGCCCTGCAGAAGCATTTAAATGAAAGCATTTATCAAGTAAAAACTTCCAAACACATCTACCTCAACACTGAGGAGATGTCAGAGTGCAGTCACCTCCTAAACATGACCCTAAAAATCACAGAATCATTTAGGTTAGAAAAGGCCTTTAAGATCATCGAGTCCAACCACTAACCCAGCACTGCCAAGTCCATGAAAGGCTTAGGAAAGATTAACTGATCCCCACGATTCTGAAGTGCAGTTGTTGTGTATTTCCAAGTATGCTTTGTAAAACTGCTCAACAGAAACAACCCATCCCAAAAGGCAGCCAAAAGAAAATTCTTTTCAGAAGCGTTGGTCTGGAGTTTGACAGACATTCAAACTTCACTCTTCATGCAGAGAAATGTGGATGTTACAAAGCAATGCCCAGGTTGCTTTCCCATCTCTTCTTACCCCAAGAGGAACTAACTTCTGCTCCTCTGGTGCCTACTTCCGCTCCTCTGGCTGTGGAGCAGAGCAAGGCAATTCACAGCTTGAGTGGAGTTTTGGGAGCATTTACACATTTGCACCGTAGCTGCTCAAGCACTTTTGCTGCCATTCATGCCCACAGGTCATTTGACAAAACACTGCACATCGTTATTTTAAATTCTAAAGCTACCAAACAGTCAGAAAATTAATAAGCTGTTGGGTTTTAAATGAAAAGCTTTAAAGAAGACCTGAACAGCTAAAAAGTAATACTACCAATATATAGTAGTATATGGCCAATGTATCCCCAGTATATGCAAACATATTTAAAAAATAAATAAATTAATAGTTGTAAAGCCCAAAGACCTTGATTCCTTCCCTGGATACTAAGGAAGGACCAAGGGTGTCCTGTTCCCAGGCAAGTCCCCTTTGCCTTCAGGGAGACCCCAGGAGTGACACCTTCCCATGTCAGTGAGCATGTTCGAGTGGGACAAATCCCACCGGCCTTCCCGGGCAGAGGCTGCGGGGGCCGCGAAGCAGACAGCAAGAAAGACATTATTTTATTTCACAAGCAAGAAGCATTAAGACCTTCCCCTTTCTCCCTGTCCCACTCATGACTTGGAACTTGGACTTCCAAAGGACCCAGGTGCCACATAGTCATCAACAGGAATACAGTTAAAAAATCCCGCTAACTGTTTCAGAGAGCGAGTTTCGCACTGGAACAGGTCCCCGGGCCGGCGGGGCCGGGGAG